TTATTTTGTAAATTTTTTCTCTTTCAGTTTTATGTAAACAATATCAACAGACACTTCTGGTCCTTACTGATGTCCTTATCATCACCACAATTTAAAAAAAGCTTAAAGTTCAGACTTACTTTGTAACTTTCTTCAAACAACCCTTTGTCCCAACACCGACTCTAATTCAGGTTTCAAATGTAGTTTAGTCGGTAAAACTGGAGTATTCAGAAAAAATATTTCCAATATGAGTTGTAATCAAAAAGTTGCGCTATCTTCTTTCGCAATTGACGAAGGCAATTATAATCGCTGTGACCATGTTGTTTCACTTTCCCCATATAAACTAAGGTCTACTACCCAGCATCTCAGATTTTCATTTTCCTCTATTTCCCAAGTACACAAGAAAGTTATAAGGCATTAAATATTAGGAGCTTCTCGACGAGCTGACTGTTCAGGATAATTTTGTTCTCCGACAAAAATTTCTTAAACAATATATTTTTAAAGTTTTATTGCATTGGTTCACTGTACAGCACATTGATAGCAGTAAAACTCGCACTGAGACCCATTCCACTTCCGTTTTTCAACGTCTTCTTTGACCAAATCCAAAAATTTCCCCCCAGAGTTCCTGAAAGTTCCATACACAACTGTCACAATGACACAAACCTCTCAAAGCTGCTCCACCAGGCAAACGGTAACTACAGGCGCCCACCGCGCATTACTCAACGAGGATCTAACTAATCCAGTGCAAACGTCCCCACGACTGTCCTTCTGCCTACTGCACCGACTCTTAATTCCAATGCTCTAGCTCGGCAGAAACTTACAGTTCACCACGCCAACCACTCCTTTGAACAAGGGTTAGAAAAACGTACACAACTGTTGAGGAAACGAACTCACAAACCCCATAAAACCAACCACTAAGCAGCCAACCGCAATGTACAGCTGCAGTTTTACAAAGGTAGGGGTTTATCAAAAAAGCAACCCCCTCACCCGTCGACTTCAACGAATCGTGCATAAGACCATCAAAACTAAACCGTGTTTTCACAAAAGTAACCTAAGACCAAACAGTGAAAACAACTTCCCCAAACGTTACAGAAGCTAAAACAAAAGAAATGATCTGTTAAGAGTGCAATAAAACCAGTTTCAGCTGTAAGCGCCTCACATCTGAAATGAAAGTCATATTTATACAAAACTAATGCAACTGAAAAAATGAATGACTTGTAACGACGCTAAGCAAATAATCTAAAAATAATCTACTTATCTATGAAATAATACCTTGCAACACAAAAAACATTGTAACCGAACGCAAAATTGCAAGAACAATAAAGAAACAAACGAATAACAGCAGCAAAAGCCAACGAAAATACCAAACTTGACACCGAAAAAACATTTGAAAACAACCTAAATTCAAGAACGCAAAACGACCAAATTATATCATCAATCGCAAAAAAAGACTCTAAATAATATTTACGAATACTTTTTAACAAATCTGGAAAACTAATCAACAACTTCTCGAAAAATTGACCATTAGAGAAGTCAACAACAATAATATAAAGCTTCAACAAACAGACGATAAATACAGATAAAAAACAACGGAAATAAGAATAAAAGAAATCTAGTATGCTCCTTCACAACGTCTCTTCACAATACTTTTGAGGCATCTTCGTAAAAAAATCGGTGGAAACAAAACAATATATAATTACAAGACGCTATACAAGAACCGGGAATCTCCAGAAACTTCAATATACAAATGGAGAACATAAAAATAACTTTAAATTATTCACATATTCCACTAAAAAAAGCACTCGTAGTACAGCAGCAAAGAGTAAACAAAACATGCAGAAAAATAATTATCTATCACTGTCAATAAGTCACAAATAAATTCATTTAAAAAACGTCCTACAATTGCTAGTACACCAAATATTAGAATTATAATAAACAATGCCCGTACTACATCCCATCCTACAGAAATCATTCCATCACAAATTGAAAAACACCAGATGCATCTTTAGTCCTATCTACTTTCTAATTAAAAAACTTGACACCTAACGTAGTTATATGCAAGAACTGTCACCTTCTTTTCGCCACTTAAATAAAAAATAGGACTAAATTTCTGAAAAAAAAATATTGAAAGAAATTCCACCAAGTTACTTGTTCTGAAAATTAAGACAGGTTTGCAGAATGAAAGCGAAGATCGTTTCCTTAATTTAAAAAAAAAAAAAAACGGTTAATGAAAAAAACCATCAAAAGAAAAGTTCACTACCGTTAACTTGTAAACCATTAACGCAGCATGAGCAAAAATAAACGAAAAACATAAAAACAAAACAAGTAAAAAAACCAAAACACGGCACCGCGCCACACATAATTACAGATATAAATAAAATCACTACTTCCTCGAACGTCTGGCCTTGAGCATTTTACGGGATGTAATGGTTGACGTAGTTCCCGAAGTGAAAAAGTTCATTTGTCCTCCACCTCTGAAAATGTTAACCCCTGGCAAAATACTATTATAATGCGCTTTAAAACAAAATGCTTTAAGGACAATACATATTTTAAAGTCTTCGCTAGCAGAAGAATAAAATGTGGCAGCACATCTAACGCTCAATACATATTTTAACGAAATTTTAAAGAGCTTACCCAAAGGGTGTTGTTGCAGCGCTAAACGGGTTTTCTGAAAAAAAAAAAAAAAAATTGACGTAATTTTTATAAAAATACTTCTTCCTCAGTAAAATTGAAAACCTTAATAAGTGAAACAGATGAAGTAGAACTGCAACTGATATAAAAACTCATTCACCTGTGGGGGCGCTAAAATTGAATGTTGACTGAGGGAGCTCTCCAAAAGGATTACTCGTGTTTGACGCGGTGCCACCAAAGTTGAAAGTAGAAGGCGGTAAAGGAACCGCGGCCGGAGCAGTAAATACATTAGTAAGCGGCGGCGATGTTACTGCAGCACTTTGGTTAACGGATTTCGCTGGATCGACAACAGTACTACCAAATGCAAACGTCGGTGCAGTCACACTGCTACTACTGCCTACCGATCCGAACAGAGAACTGGAAAGGTTTTTTTGAGAGAGCAGTATTTTCTCATAAAACGTTCTAAAACGAGTTAAAGAATAATCTGCTACAGATTTCAGCAAGAAGCAAACATACCCCGAGGTTGAAGTTGCAGAACTGACACTGTTGGAAAGAAAATTGAATGAAGGCGGAGCTGCAGAAAAGTTGAACGCAGTCGCTGTTTGCGTTTGGGAAGGCCCACTTCCGCCATCTGATGTAGGTGATGCCATTTCTACTGAACCTGCACCACTTTCTTTCACTGGTTGAGACGCAGCTGGTGACGAAACACTTTTCGTCAGAGTAACAGATGTACCTGAAAAGGCAAACTCTCCCAAGTTACCTAACAGACCAGTAAAAACTACAGAAAAAACGACAAAAGTAGGGAAATGAGAAACTGTAGACACAAAAGTGAAAAAACATGTGAAAAAGAAAAAGAAACAACTTACTCGATGCCGGGAACGCAAATACAAGATTAGATCCTGAAGGGTTTGCTTTTGGCTGTGCCGGATCACTTGAGCCGTTAGGCGGCTTAGCTGAGTTGTTACCACCACCCCAAAACTGGAAAGGAGTAGTGCCACTTGAGGAATCCTTCGGAGCGTTGAAAGCAACTGTTTCCGTATTTGACGTTGTGGAAGAGCTATTAGAAGCGGCTTGGAAAGTGAATACAGGCTTCGAATTAAGATTTATTTCACCTCCTTGCGACCCTCCTTCCGAAGCTTTATTTGTCAATGAACCCCCAAAGAGAGGGGTATTCACATTAAGCGGCTTCCCCTCGGGCAGCCCAGGAAGAGGATTTAAACTTTCCTGTGACTTTCCGAACAGTAAACCAAAATTTGGAGCAGAAGAACTCGGGTTTAAACCAAACTTAGCGCCTGAGTTTGAAGAACTTGAAACAGGAGTGTTTGAAATACCAAAAGATATGGAAGAATTGCTGGCAGAAAGAGGCTTTACACTGCTTTCATTCGCAGCTGACGTTCCAACCGACTTCACACCAAAACCAAAAGAAAGGCCTACAATTTGAGACTTCAAGCATAGAAACAATATCAGTAGCTTATTATCCAAATAGAATATCGAATCAGAAAAAAAAAATACTTGTAGATGGTGCTGCCAGAGGCTTAAAGGCCTTGTCACCGAAAACATTTAATCCAGACTTCTGGGACATTGTTGATCCTGAACCTGCTTCACCATTGTCTTTCGAACTTTCTGGAACCTTCTCAGCGGCTGCTGCCTGAAAAGATAAAAGTCAAAAAAGAAAAACAGCAAGATGCGTAAAAATAAATTGAGGTATTGGACACAGACCCCTACCAAACAAAGTTGAAAAGTATAAAACATTGCAGGCTGAAAAGTTTGCGCTACAACGGGAAAATAAAGAATTTTAAAAGAAATTAAAAAAAAATATATACCTTCCTTTCATGACCACAACACACACACTTAGCAACATTATCCTGGTTAGGAACGAAGCAGTCAGGACACGACCAAGGCTTCAGGCCTGATTTCTCATTCTTCGCTTCCGTTGTGCCACTAGAAGGTTTTAGGTGCAGAGCACCGCAACAAATACACTTAACTGCATCCTCCTCGTTGGGTACCCAACACGATGAGCACGTCCACTTTTTGTTCTTAGACCCATCCGCTTTTTTCTGCTCTTCATCCTTTTCCCCTTCAACGTTTTTCCTAACAGAAAGATCCTGCCCACTCACAGTATCCAGAGACCTCTTATTGACAGGAGCACCAATCTGAAAACCCTACATCAAATAAATTTGAAAAATACAAGTCCAGGAAAATACATATTTTTAAAATCAATTACACTTAAACCTCTCCCGCTTTTTGAAGCAATACTAATCTTCATTTGAACAAGGTACAAAATTACATAAAATTTACAGCAAAATAAACAAACAAATTAATCAACCGGCTATTTTAAACCATTCAAAAACTTAATGGGAAAAAGCTGACGATAAAGCGTCATTTGAAACACAGTTATCCGAAAAACTTAATCAACAGAAAGCTGCAGCATAAATAATAATGAGGACAATAAACGTCAAGTACTGCATTAAAAAAAGTTGCGTTATATTTTTTGAATAACTGTATTTTTAACGACTTTCGACTACCTTAGAAGGATTTGAAAAGTCGTTAGTCTGTCCTTCGGTCGTTTCTTTTTGCGGCAGATCAGAACACGTCAATTTTTCTGCTGAAATGTGCATTGCTTCTAATGCACAGTATTGAAGCACGATAACCGTTACAGTAAGAAAACGCAGAAAAGAGAACTAACACGAAACAATGGAATTAGAAAACAAACAAAATTTAGTGCTGATACAAAAAATGATAAAATCAACCTGAATCTTTCGAATCCTTCTTACTAGTGACAGCTTTCTGGCTCTCCGTAACATGAACATCAGAAGTTTCTTCATCTGACGTCTAAAAAGTTACAGAATAAAAGTTGAAAAAATAAATGAAATCCATCCTAAAACAGATCAAAACAGACCTTATCTTCTTCTTCTTCATCTTCCTGAGCACTGTCAGAAGAAACTTCATCCACTGTTACACGTTTCGAAGGCCCTCTTTTTTCGGGGCGCGAAAATGAAAACAACTCATCTCCAAGAGTAACCTTATCTTGCTTATTGAGAGCACCACTATCACCAGTATCGTTTTCATCTTTAGAAGCAGAAGGCTGAACCGTGCCAAGAAAACCTGGCTGCGGGGCATCAGTCTTTCCCATAAGGCCTTTGGCTGAGAACAACTGTAAAACAATTCGTTATCTACCGCTATATAACTGGAAATAAAGAGGGAAAATTATCCTGATATAATAAATTATACTGAGTTTCTTCAAACCTCATTTAAAAAAAAAA